GGGGGGGGGGGGGGACCAGAGTCGTCCTCGTCGGTGCCGAAAGACGCGGGTGAAAATCTGCCCGGACGAACCGGCGTAAGCATCCGTTCTATTTCACCGAACTAGATTGCACTTTTTACCTTTACACAATAAAACGAGCATATAAACAGCATGTAAAAGTTTGCGTAAATAACGGTCTCCGCTCGTGCGGCTGTCACTGTAGTGCTTTACCGGCAAATCAAATCGGCGTTGACTAGGGGAAAAAAAAAAAACCAGAAAACTCGGTGAAACTCGGTACCTCGCCAGCAGTTATCTCCTACTCGGGCGTGCACGCAAGGATCGCGAGCGGGTCGAATTTCGCGGCGGCCGGCGGCGCCATTCAGCGGCGGGATTATAAATTCCCGCATTACTTATGGCGGGCAGGACCATAAAATTCATAACGACGTACCGCGCCGTAATAACGACGAACGAGCGACGGCCGTCGCCGTAGCGCGCGCCCGACCTGTTACAGCATTTGTAGGAATTTACGACGAAGCGCCGTAGCTAGCTCCCTGCCGCCGCTGTTGCTGCCGTAGCTGCCAGCCAGGCAGCTTAGGCAGCTACCTAGCCAGCTACCCGCTCGACCCGCCTCTCTCTCTCTCTACCCACCACCTCCGCGATAGCTTAAAACTTTCAGGGTAGTTTTGGAAATGCCGCGCGCGCAAACAGACTCCACTTTCCGGCGGAACTTCTTGCGCGCTGCGCTGTATAGCGAATTTATAGGCATTAAATAGTCGCGCATTTTTGCTACGCCGGTCGCCTCCTCTCTCTCTCTCTCTCTCTCTCTTCACCGCTCGGCATAGCTACCGATGTGCTCGAACTTCGTCCGAGGTCGACGAGGCGAGTCGGCCGGCGAGGGTGGCGTAAACTTCGGATATCTCGGAAATATCGACCGCCGACGGAGTCGCGCGAATCCGCGATTCTCGGCGAAAAGCGACGTAAGTCGGGATTAAGGACGTAAAGAGTCGGCACGATTGTACACGAGGAGGGATTTGCGAAGAGAAAGGGGGAGGGTAAAGCACGATCATCCGTCCTGTCATCGGACGTGAATTATTACGCGAATAAACGATCGTGCGTGACGCGTTGTTAAACGACGCGCCGTAATAGGTCTGTTTCTTTATATACCATGTCCTATAATCACACGGTCCACGATAGGTCGCGTCTCTCCTCTCTCTTTCTCTCTCGCTCCCTACCTTTGTTTCCCCTCCACCATTAATATGCTGATTTCACATTCCGAGGTGTACAAAGTGTACGTACTGCACTCTGGCTGTGTATCTGACAGTCAAATGGCCGGCGCGCGCGACTGACGGCGGCGGCTCAACAACGGAATCTCATTTTTCAGCGCGACGGAAGATTCAAATCGCGCAAGTGTACACCGCGGGCCCCGTTTTTAAGCATCGATCGAAAGAAGCGGCTCATTATTATTCCGCTCTTGAATGGATATTCATGCCGGGGGTACACAAAAACAGAAATGTTTAGCTATGCAAAATATGCTTCATCTACGCGCGCTCTCTGTCACTCTCTCGCTCTATCTCTCTCGCCCTCTCTCGCACTCTTGCTCTCGTAAGTCCTTTTACCGTGCATTACTTTCTCTGTGCTTTTTATTTAAGTGCAAAACTGACTCGAAACGCTGTCAACCGTCTCTTTGACTTTCACCCTCTGTCTCTCTCTCTCTCTCTCTCTCTCTCTCCCTCAGAATAAATGAAGATTGATACATTCCTTAGTATTTACGTTACCTTATATATTATAATGCTAAAACAGTAAAAATTGCCTCCCGTTTAACCTTGTAAGGTTGTAATACGCTTATAGACTCATTCAGACTAATCAAAGGCTGAAGCTGTCACTTCAAACAGCACGCCTATCAATCAATTCCGATCAATTAAAGATACAAATTACCCATCTTACGTTTTTCTTACGTTATTTTTTAAATTTACGCATTCTTTTCGTATAGTACGTGATAACTATCTTAACTATTTGCGCTAACTTTTCGTTTGTTACTTCTCGCCAAAGTCAATATTAGTTCTACTATTCTACCAGGCAGCATGCCGTTTAAAGCTGTACACTAAACTGTAAGCTCAACGGAATTCTCGCAGAGCACAAATATACTCTACTCTACTCTACTCTCTCTCTCTCTCTCTTGCGCGCTTCTGAGGACGCGGAGTGTGTGCGCGCGACTGGAAACGTTACGTGGTAGTACGTTTCCGATGGCGAGGAGAGATGTTGCGCTATAATTGGTCGCCCTGGCCTGTGACAGGCATAACCACGTCCCGATATGGACGTCCGACCACTAATCTGTTATACCTTGCTGTATCACACGCAGCGCCGTTAACACGACATCGTAATGCATTACGATATCGATAATCGGACATTTGTCTTGGCGGACTCTCGCCCCTATAACTGAAAACCGAGTCCCGTCCGGGCCCGCCGAGGACGACGTTCTCGACGACGCGCGAGAATCCCCGCGAATTTTTCTTTCCACCTCGATTTCAACCACTTTCCAATTCGCACGGGATCCATCCTTCTTACAGCCCCGTAGCCCGCGTAAACGCCGCAGGACGTGTACACACACGGCCAACCGAGTCCTCGGAGTTAATTCGTGGGATAATAACACGTCGGCCACACTCAACCTTTGTGCTCTCGAACCCGTAAGTTTCGGACTACGTGCTACGCTCGCAGCCGTATACCGAGAGTGACCGAGCCGGCTGGCCGATTGTCCGCCGGCGAGCGCGATCTCCGCGCGATCGCGCACGTACGTTGGTACCAACGTACGTGAGGGTAGTTCGCCGCCCCCCCGAGCGTTGCGTAACGTTGCCAACTTGGCCGTTTGGGTCAACTTCCGTCCGCCTTCCTCTCGTCGTCCCCGTCATCCTCGGGCCCCGGTGGTCGCGTGTAAACGTCCCCGCGAATCCATGTGTTACCAGGGCGTGTGCACTTTAGACGCAACCGGCGGGAGAGCGGGAATGCGAGAGAACCGGCCGGCCAGGTCATTGTGATGTTGCTCGGCCCGGCATGTGCGAGAGAGCATGCGGTGATCCGGTATAGTCGCAGCGCGCGCTGCTCTCGGCACACACTTCGGCCGGCTCGTAATACACCGGCGAGGAATGTACGCCGCGCGACCGGCCCTGCGCGTCCACCCTGGTCATCGTCGTCGCAGCAGCCCGGTTCGCGAGCGACCCTCCACTCAGCCGCTCAACCAACCGGCTTCCACCCTTCCGTCTCGCTCTTCCGTCCGTTCCACCGCTTCCTCCTCCCCCGCCGAGCGGGACCGAATCTGGTAGCGAGCGAGGCACTCGTGGTATTTCCGCAAATTCGACGCTCCGCCGATGTCCCGGGGACGAGGTATGCGGGGGGGGGG